CCTGACCAAGAATACAATACATCCTGCAACACCAAGAAACCTTACTAAGTTAAGAATACAATACATCCTGCAACACCAAGAAACCTGGCCAAGAATACAATACATCCTGCAACACCAAGAAACCCTACCAAAAGTACAATACATCCTGCAACACCAAGAAACCCTACCAAAAGTACAATAGATCCTGCAACACCAAGAAACCTGACCAAGAATACAATACATCGGCCAGCAACACCAAAAACCTGAACAAGAATACAATACATCCTGCAACACCAAGAAACCTACCCGAGAATACAATACATACTGCAACACCAATAACTCTACCCAGGAATGTAAGTAATATGTTTTCAATATGAGCGGCCGTGTCGTATCGGCTATACAACCACGTGCCAGAGGCGAAGGATTGTATTGGCGATACAACACGGTCATAAATGCTGTAAAAAAACTTTTGAAATTCACTAATAAATCATAAACCCTTTGGGACATTTTGAATTCATGATACAACCACTAGTAATATATTTACAGTACCTACAATACACAGGAATATACAATGAGATATGGAATAGCCGACAATGGATGATGTCCACAAGAGTGGGCWGCGGTATATTAACGTTTATCACAGACGCCGCGCACCACATCAATCGGGGATGGGAGGGTGGGTCACTCATATTCTTGAATGGTAGTAATTTATACATCGCAAGGAATTATGGGATATCTAATGTTATGTTAATTTCATATTTTATTTTCGGTACTTAGAATAGTGTTCAAGAAAGAGCGATTGGGCGGTTAGCTGAAAGTGGTCACGTGTAATGAACACAGTGTTTGAAGAAAGAACTATAGCGATTGGCTGAGACTGATTACGTGAAATAAACGTTATTCTAAAGAAAGAGCTATTGCCATTGGCTGAAAATGAAGACGCAAAAAATAATTGAAAAGAAAAGAAGAAAAGGTTTATAATACCTATTGCTGGCTTTCACTCAGCTGATCATAAAARATTTTGAATATCATTATCAGCTCCACATGGTGCTCAAACACTGACCACCATGTGCTGTCAGCCAGGTAGAATTGGGCACTGCTAAACAGCGAAACACCGAAACGAAACACCGGAACGAAACAGGGACAAATTCGTGATATTACAAATATCATGCAATAAAAAATATAAAAAAATCAAAATACACGATAGTACAATGATATAAAAGCGATAAAGCTTACCTTTATGCTTGTGCTTTATGATCTGTGATYCGTATCGATCGTTTATTGCCTTTTATTAACCATGTCTTTTCGCTGGCTATCAATGCAATTATTTCTCGAATTTGAAGGATTCCAATGGTTCTTTTAATAAAACAAGCATTAGTCTTAACTGCTTCTGTCTCTAGTATCTACACCAAAAAAATTGTGAAAAAAGCTAAAGTTCTCGGGCGATGCCATGTTTATTCAAACAAAAGTTTGCTGCGGTTTCGCTGTTTAGCAGTGCCCGATAGAATTGTATTTAGAACTTGCGATTCAGCTGATGAACATTCCCCACAAGACAGGAAATGATGTCTGGCCCGATAGAATTGTATTTAAAACTTGCGATTCAGCTGATGAACATTCCCCACGAGACAGGAAATAATGTCTGGTGAAAGCCAGCAATAGCATTCTTGCATGTGACGTCAAAGCAGCTCAATTTGGGGGACAAAACAAAAAAATTCCAATCTCCTGAGAATTGGTACCTATTGTTTTGTCTCCCAGATTGAGCTGCATTCCAATGTGCTGCAAGGGGTCAATCATGGTTAACGCCTGTTCTTTTCTGTTCCAGCATGCGTTAACTGGAACTCGAATTGTAACGAAGAAAATGTAAAGGCAGAGTTTTCATTGTGATCATGTTCTAGCCTTCACGGTTTGTCCAAGAACATGTGGCCTTTGCATCGGTATGGACCCATTTATTCTTGTTAAATATTACTGCTGTTGTTGTTGTAGTTTTTCAGTTCTGGGCTGTTGCTGCTGCTGCTTCTGCACGCTTCTCAGTGTTGCTGTTGTCCATGCTACTCTTGTTGTTTTTTTGCTGCTAGTACTATTGTTGCTCATGATGTTAGTTTCGACGATGTTGTTACAGTTGTTGTTTTTGTTGCTGTTGCTAATGTTGTTGCTGCTACCACTATTGTAACTGCTGCTGGTGTTGCAGTGCTTTTTTTTTTTTGTTTGTTTGTTTGTTTTTATTTTGCTTAGGTTACATACCTCGGTGTAAAATTATAAAATACCTATTTTGAACTTGCAAACAGTATTATATTTCCTAACAACAACTGAATTCTGTTACATTTTGTTTTCCCAGAATTTTAAACAGCTCCAGCTGAACACACGATAGGAACACGATACCTGGCAGACTCAACTTTCCGGTTTGACTGAGCAGCAAAATGAAATGACAATAAGATATAATCAAGGAACAGATCGGAGACTACTTTTTGCCATACTCTTAGCCTTTAAATTAGCTACTATCATCTAAGTATAATTGGTAAATCTTCACTCGATTTTTTCACTTATAGTTTATCATTATCCGTATTATGTTGTTGGTATTATATTTAAAAATTTTGTTAGGGTGCACTTAATTTGGAGCCAAGCTCTGTTGTGCTTACCCCTTCCATGATAGCTTAGGAACTTAGTTGATTGTCATGGATAAAGTTATGTACATAAATAAATAATGATTAAATTCACAGAATAAAGGAGTGCCTTTTTTAGTATAATATAAATTAGCAGAGGCCCATCTAGGAATCTTTGAGCCCAAGTTCAAACATCAATTTCCACGAATGTTGTACGTTATAAGTGATTGAGACTTCCGGTTAACGATCGCGAATAGTTGCCATAAAATTTAATGGTTAACCCTTACTGCGAAGTCGTTGTGTTATGGTGAATATCTTGAATGGGGGGGAGGGGTGGGGAGGGGTAATAATCTCGTTTTTYCTTCACAACGCAACTCAAACTACGAGAACGTGTAATGTCATTCTTGTAAAAGATATTTTAGCTTAATGGGACATAGCAATAGAGGATTCAGAACCAGGGATATATTTTTTAACTAACTACTTGGGTGGGGTACCTGTGTTGATCGTCACGGGCCGCAAAGCTTTAAGGGAGATATTCAAGATGGCGGCTTTACCGCAAAAGAAGTACTATCGACAAAGAGCGCATTCTAACCCGATGGCAGACCATACCTTTGACTAGTAAGTAATGCATATGTTCTAAACAGCACATAAATCATATGCTTAGATTTCTAGTCCTTTTGGTGTTAAATATGCTAGGGGAAAGCTAATTTACTGAGAGACAGGGCCACACTTCACGTGTTATACAACCAGTGTGTTACCATTAGTTTCCTTTGCAGCCGTTCGTAGTGTCGGTCTAAAATCCCTCCCCACTAGTTAGTGGGGAGGTTAATATCCCTTTTAGGATTTTAGACCGACACTAAGATCGGCCGCAAAGGAGACAATGATACCATAAGTTTTATTTTCTTTTGCGATTCCTAGTCTGTTTAGTTTTGATTGTATACTTACTTTAATAGTTTTGATGCATACTTGTCTTGTATAATGACTATTCATACTTATTACAGTCGTTTGCATTACTATGCGGCCACCCCAGACACAAATTGAGTCGTGTAGTTTGCAATAGACTACCATCAATCATTCATGTTGACGCCATTTATACACGTTTGGATCAGTGAGTTGGCTTTTCTATCAAACTTTCTCAGTCAGATATCACGAAGAAAAGTTCCGAAAGCGATTGCAAAGAGTTTGAGTACATCCAATTAGAATGAGGTGTTTGATTGACGGCAGTCTATTGCAAACTACACGACGCGATTTGTGTCTGGGGTGGCCGCTTAGTAATGCAAACGGTAATAATGCCATATGGTGAATGTCCAGTTTGTCCTAATAATACATGGACAGTCAGCTGATAGTAAAAAAGTCTTTGAATCTCACTACTGCTCCAAATGGTGGTCAAACACTGACCACCATGTGCTGTCAATCAAAAAGAATTATATTGAAAGCTTGAGATTATCCAGATGTTAAACTCATCGGCACTGATGGATTGGAGGGAGGTGCCTGAAAACTGTGTCAGGTCGTGCTACTGCTCACAGCGGAGGTAACCATGGCCGCTCAACCCGGTCYACCTCCAGGCACCAGTCACACTGACCGAGTCAGTGGAGAATGATACTTACCTGATAAACGCAACGTTTTGATCACATACCTGTCATTTATTATGTCTATTATTGTTTGTTAATGTCATATATATTGATTGATAGTCCAGTATATGCGCTGATGATATGGACTGGTCATCTATTGCATTCATAGCCATACCTGTATTTCTCCTGCCTATTCATGTCTATTTATATGCATTAATTAATTAATTATTTATTTAAATTGAATTGATTGATAGTCCAGTTTGCCCTGATGATATGGATTGGACATCACATTATCCAGCATTCTACGACAAATCATCAACTGAAGCAGAAAACGGACAGAAATTAATAACAAACAACAATGATAAACCAAGGGTAGAGTTTGCTGATATAGGCTGTGGTTATGGTGGATTATTAGGTAAGACCACAGTTTAAACATTGTAGAAAAGATCTTGATTTATAAAGCAATGATTAAATTAATATTGATTAATATTAAAATAATATTGATTAAATAAATATTATGACATGATTATCGGCAATCAAGGGGAGGAGTTTGACACTTAATTGTCACACTATCCTCTATATAGGAGGCTTGCTTTGTCTGTCTGTCTGTCTCCCTCTATAGGAGTCTGAGAACAAAGAAACGATAACTAGGCCCGGTAGTTTCGTGTTCCATTAGCAAAGGAAGCCTCTTTACATGTACTTCCTTTCTCAATTCTAACATATACATGTAGTGTATTCCAATTCCAATTTAATCTGTGACCTTTCAATACACTCAGATAAGTCCACAGGGTTTTGTAGTGTTCAATATTTCATAAATGGTCAAGAAGATCAATGGGCAATATATATGAGTAAATTTATATCAGCTTTTGCAAATTGAAAAAAAAAGATCTTATTCCATTTCCCTAAATACGGCAGCTCTATGTTCCTTAACTACAGACTCTTTTACAAACTATTTTCTTAAAAGTTTTCATGAAAATTAAAGTTGTGCATAAAATAACAATATTTTTTTACTTTGTTGTAGTTCAGCTATCTCCATTATTTCCTAAAACACTAATGCTTGGAATGGAAATTAGAGTTAAGGTATTCAAGACTATAAAATATTGCTCTAGATACAGTTATTGGTGATGAATTTAAAATTAGTTACATAGTTTGGGCTTATAATTTTGTGTTCATTTCAATCAAACAATAGTATCCATGCAACAATAGCTGTATCAGAACCATATTAAATACCTGTAAAAGCTTTTAAAGACAAATGTGCTCAGAGACATTTTAATCTGAGCAGATTAAGTCAGTGTTCCACGGGGCTGCATGAGCTTCATTTATGGAGGGACTTACAATGGGATAGGAAATTTTCGTAAGCAGACCTGTACTGTACATGTAAATGGGCTTATTGTTTTTGGGGGAGGGGGTCATCTCGGAGGGGGGNGGGGGATGTGGGAGGGCTTATAATCTCGGGCGTTTATTAACTTTTTCTTTGTTACTATAATTAGATAACCAACCATGCATTTTCTCCTGATCAGGTCAGTGATTATGTCAATGACAGAATCTTAGCTCTCAGACAAAGTCACCCAGGACAGTACCAGAATATCAGTGTTATTAGGACAAATGCAATGAAATATTTGCCAAACTTCTTCAAAAAAGGACAGGTACATGGAATATAAAAATTGAAATATAATGAAGTCAGTGATACTAACTCAGGGTCGTAGCAAGCCTCCTACACAGTTGCAGTGAGGGAAATGTTGCGTGACAGACACTAAGAGCATCTGAATAGGAGGCTAGGCCGTAGCCAGACCAACATTTTTGGTGGGAGCAACTAGGGAGAAAATTTTGAAATTTAGACCCTTGGAAATGAGATTTAATAGAGTATGGAGGGGCATTCGTAACAATTTACCAAGGCAACTGCCTCATAGTGGCTATGGACTGTAACTTGGATTGAACTTGAAAATACAAACTTTGATGTGCAAAATACAGTCCTTAGTACATGTACATGTGGAGATTCTGCTTTCAATTGATTTTAATAAACTCACTTTTCCTCTTATAAAACTTGCCAATACCAGCTTTTTCTAGTTTTCCTATTTTTTTTTCTTTTGATTTTTTCCTTTTTTCCCCCCCTTTTTTCAGTTAAGAAAGATGTTTTTCTTATTCCCTGATCCTCATTTTAAACAAAAGAAACATAAATGGAGAATTATAAGGTTAGAAGTTATGTAATATATACAGTATGAGTAGCCGTGTTGTAGCCTCAAGATTGTATATCGGATACAACACGGACATGAATACTGTAGATTGATTGTCAAATGTCTAGGTTAGTTCCTTTGTGTTTCACTAAAATTTTCAAAATTAAAGTGAATCTGGCCAAAAAAATCCAACTTAAAGTTTATGCAAATGATGACAATTTTGTATCAGATTTACAACACTCTTCACGGTCATGTTTTTTGTTGTGTTTTCCTCATGCATTATTAATCAGTTTGACAAGTAATTATATATGTGTATTGTATAATACATGACTTATTACATGTATGTGCCCTATGGCTACATTTAACACAATACATGTATCTGAATTTGATCTTTTTTTCATTCAACAGTCAAGGTCTTTTAGCTGAGTATGCATATGTACTATCTATTGGGGTAGGTGAACTGTTATCTTGTACCTTTTG